AGAAGTCTTTCCAACTCAGGATGACTTGGCCTGAAAAAATGGGGTGTGTCATCACTCAGTTTGGGAGAGCAATCTTTATTAGGAGATTTGAAGAATGTTGTTGTCACTTATTACTTGCTCAAAAGGGCTGCAAGCAGAATAATTTCCAAATCCATTTTATTGGACGTGATAATGATGTGATTCTTCTTCACCATGTGACTCTTTATGAATTTGACACACCTGGTTAAAAGTATCATACAAATTGCTAATAATCGCATTTCACTGTCATTGTACGCAAAAGTCAATCACACAACATACAATATTGAATGACTGAGGATTTTAATGCAGTATTATTATAAAACAGAAACAGAATTTATAATCTGTCTAATAGGTTAGAACATAATTGTGTTTTTTTGTTATTATAACTGGTTAAAAGTGTAACAGAAATGACAATTTACGGTAAGCCAAGAAAAGTAGAAAAGCTTAAATGATCAGTTAATGGACACTGAAGCTACTAATCTTAACCTATATGAAATATTTGACCATGTGGTAGTCTCATTGTAGTAAGATAAGAGAGTTTTAGTTTCTTCTGGCTGATATTCTGTGTTAAACTGAATGGATCAATGTTAATCAATATTAACCTAAAGATTTTGATAAACATCTTGTTCTCTACAAAGGTCCACAGTTTGTTCATCAAATGACCGAGTTACAAATACATGATCATTTTCATCACTACTGCTTTGATCTTCATCTGCTTTTCTTCTCTCTTTCTCTGCTCTTCCTGTTTGTTCAGTGTGATTTCTTTGGGGTTCAGTCTCTCAGAATCCATATCTTTTGTCACTGACGTCATCATCTTCATCACAGATTGTTAGAGTCACTGAAAGACAACAGAGCAGATTTCTGTCATGTGGACATCATATTCAAAACAAAGCTGTTGTTTTTTCATGTAATATATTGTTTGTTCTGGTGAGCACAGACTTCTGGTGTGGATGTAGCCCAGCTGTGTTTGCCTCCTTCTCCTGAGCACCAGGAAGACCACCAACAAGACCAGCAGGAGCAACAGGACCACAGCAACTACAGACGAGACCAGCAGCATCCGAGGAACTAAGAGAGAAAAGGTTTTTGTCAAATATGCAAGATAGAAAGTGGTTCTGCATGAGTTATTGTTGTCCCTGCATTTTGACTCTTTGACTCAGGGTTTTTAGTTTTGGGGATGTTTTGGTTTTCTCTACTTTTTTATTTTTGATTATCTTTGAATCGTGCTTATTGATGTATGTATGCTTTATCTACCTAAGCCTGATACAGGATTAGGGTAACAGTTTACATTCAAGCTCCATTACCTTCTATTTATTGTATTATGTTTACTTTCCTTGTGCTTATGAATTTCTTGTTATCTGTGCCTTAAGTTCCCCATTTTAGGTAATGCTTTAGTTTATTAACCCCTGTTTACGTTCCTGTTCTGGTCCTTCTATCTTGTCTTCTAATGTTATAATCTTTGTTTTATCTATTTTTCCAATTCAGTAAAAGGACTAGATGTTACAATCTCTGATAATGCATTGCTTTAAATGAAGAGAATCTTGAGGGATGGCTGTTGTGAGGAAAGGCAGCCCAGGAACTGCGATAATGCAATGACAGGACGATCTGACTTGAGCTTCAGCGTTTGTGCAATTTGCAACAAATTGTGTGATGCAGACTTTTTAATTCACATTTGTGCAATTCATTTAAATCTTCTGCTCCTGAAAGTGAAACTCTTACAACTACATATCCCTTTAGCTAACCCACCAAGAAAAAAAGCAATGGAATTTTTTTTTTTGTTTGCATTTCTTTTTTGTTTGTTTGTTTGGTTTTTTGCCTGTTTTTTTGCAGGACCAACAGCGCACAATGTGCTTTGAGGTAGCAGCCAAGGAAGATGTGGTTTGTGTCTATGAACAGTTAACACCCGTGTGTACACCTGTGTGCACACCTGTGTGGTTCAGCGCGCTTGTATTCAAAAGGTTTCTCCATGTAACGATCTGCTAGAGGGTGTGGGGAGCCATAGCCCCGTCCCCCAGGGCATGAAGCAGGCATGGAGGAGATCCAGGCCCCAGACTTCCAGAGGCCCCAGAGTGCAAGAGCCCAAGGAGGACCACTGGTTTGCATTTCTTATTGACTTGGGTCAATAATAACCACAATCAATATTTTTTAAGACCCTATAGTTTTAAAAATATTGATCTCTACCAAATAGTTGAGATGTCACTTAATG